TCTTGCACTTAACGACTTCCGGCCACCGGAGATGCAAAATCAAGGGCAAAGTGTAAAAACGCGAATAGTTCGGTAGGCGAAGTGTACTCGTGAAGACTGATTTGAGGTATCTTCTAAGGTGTGAATGACGATTTTGCCCTTGAGTTTGCATCTCCGATGGCCAAGTCGTTAAGTGCAAGAATTCTTGAAGTTCGAGGGGTAAAGGAGCTTTTTGGGGATAGAGGATTCACAATCTACAATTTTAATTTAGAACTTTTTAGTTTGTATTATTTATTTTACAATCTACATTGGTTTATGATGCTAACAAATAATAATATGTCATCCATATGATTAATTTATCTAGAAAAATGTAAAATTCATAACTTCTTAATCAATTGTCGGTAATTTTTTTTTTAAAAAAAAATATATATTTATAAATTACCAACTAAAAAATATTAAATGTTTTAATATATTATTATTAAAAGAATACACCCTAAATAATAAAATGTCTTTATTAGTAATTTGCAATGTCAAACAGCTATAAGCTTTCAGCTATTTACCAAACACTTATTTAAAAACCGCTAATTCAATCCGCTAGTCAAATCAGCTAATATAATCCGTTATCCGCTATTCGCTAATACAATCCGCTATCCGCTATCCGCTATTCGCTGATCGCCAAACAAGGCCAAAGTGTCACCGGAAAAAGTTGAGTGGGCAAAGTGTAAAAATGCGAATAGTTCGGTAGACAAAGTGTAATTTTTTCTTTTAAAATCACAAATGAATACACCAAAACTTTTAAAAGACTTAAAAAATTTAAATTAAGTACATCAAAATTTCTAAAATCTTAGAAAGTCATTACAAATTCAAGTTGAATAGAAAAGTCTAGGCACGGTTTTTTCTTGAATCGATTCTTAAAAGTCGGGACTTCCAGAATCGGTCTTTAAAAGTCTTAGGGTATGTTTAGTAAGCCAAATAAGCTAGCTTATAGCTTATTTGGTTAGCTTATAAGCTCCCTGTTTAAAATAAATCTTGTTTGGTAGGACGAGTTTTTTTAAAAAGCTCGAGCTTATTTGATAAGCTTCTTTAGGTAGCTTTTCAAATAAGGTAGTTGATTTTTTTATTCCAGCTAGCTTATCAGCTAGTTTTACCAAACACTTTTATCATATAAGCTAGCTTATCAGCTATAAGTCATAAGATATAAGTTATAAGCTAAAAAATTACTGATAAGCTATAAGCTAGCTTATCAGCTATCAGCTAGCTTATCAACTAGTTTTACCAAACATAGCCTTAGGCATAGTTTTTAGGTGTCAAAAGTCTTCCAGAATCGGTCTTTAAAAGTCTTAGGCACGGTTTTTGGGTGTCAAAAGTTATACATCATTATTTATTGATTGTCAAAAGTTATACATTGAAAGATGTAGGAGTGAAAATAAGTGGATCATTAAAATGTGAGTGGTTGTATTTCACTTCGGAATTTGCTAAGTCGGTATAAAATAATGGGAGCGGCTACAGTACCGTAATGGTAACGTGCCCTTGTTTTAATATGAGTCATTGGAAGTTGATAGATGTTATTAGCCACCAGATTTCAGAATGATTCATTTTAACAACATGTACACTACTGTAGACAATTTAGTTTTTTAATAATTCAACAATAGAAGAAAAAAATGTGTGGAAGTTTAACTTTCAATATTCATGTAAAACTAATTAAATAAAAGTAAAAAAAACATAGTAATAAAAGATGCTGATAGCTTCACATTACAGACGATGTATGTTAATACAAGGGCATTACTATTTACCGCCCCCTTATTACTAGTCACCGCCCCCCTTGGACGATTTTGCCCTCTCATTCGCACCATGTCAAGCAGCTCAGAGGTAATCTTTTTCTGTCCGGACGGGAAAGCCTCACGGCACCGGTCGTGTCCAGCCGAAAAAACCGGATGGCCCGTAGGGCGTACGGCCGGTTCGGCTGGACGTGACCGTCCCCGCACGTCTTTTGGGGCCGTACGAACCGGTCCTAGTACTAACAGACCGGCCGTACGGCCGGCTTGATGTCCGGTCGCGACGACCGCACGGAACCCGG